CCACCCCACACTTAAAATCATGGCATGTCCCCATGTCATATAAATAAAGTAAAGAGCAGAAGGGTTAGAAGACTTCCCTGAGACTCAGTCAGAGTCGGAGACAGTGCTGGGGTCGACATGGCAGGCTCTCCCCAATGCACGGAACCAGGCCATGAATCGGCTCTCAGTCCTGGATTGCCTCTGGGACATAGCATCCATCCTTGTGTGTAATCCATCCACTGAGGTGCGGAGATCTGCAACCTCTTCTTCCATGGACCGCAGCATAGGCCTGGTGGACTGTGATCTGGATATGCCAGTCCCAGAATGAGTGTATCTAGATGGTCCGGCACTGTCAGCGGACCCCCTGGATGGAGCAAGAGGGACCGGATCATTATCCTCGTCATCTATCTCAATTGTGATCCGTTATTCCTCGGCCACTCTGATGATAGAAGCTTTGAATGCTGCTTTGGGTGACAAATCTCCATCGGCAGGATTGGTGGGGGTGTTTCTCATCAAGCACAGTGTGGTTACCAAGGAAGGGAAATAGAATCCCTTTGTCAGCAGCGGTCCCCGTAAGACCATTTCATCACCAATTATCCGGGCCACATCAAAATCCTTTCCTGTCACAAAACACCAAGTCAGCAGTGCCCGATTGAAGTTCACGTCCGTTGTATTGCTGGATAGCAGGAACCTGCTGCAGATAACAGTCAGCCAACACTTGGCCAAGTGGGTGAAAGAGTTAGAGTAGGGGTTATTTTGGCCACGTATCCAAATCGGGTTGCCCCCCTGTGCAAAAGTCATCCGTCATGACCTCCCATGTCACCCCTGGTTTGTCATGGTAATAGTCGACGTCACTGGTGAACGGAGGCAGCCGCAACACCTGGCGAATTGTTGGAACTTTAGCATTGACCACCGTACCCCGAACAATCACCTCCCTACCCAAGTGCAATGGGAAGTTGGCATAAAGTTCTCGAACCAGCATCTTGTTAATTGGTGCAGGGTCGTTAAATAGGAATTCCATTTCCCGCCTCCGTATTTCTTCATACATCTCCACCTTTTCGGCTTGGAGGGCTACCCGATCAATCGGGATCTCATGGATAAAGGTCTTTGTAGCCTTGGCATTGAAGTCGTCCTCCGCCAGTTCCGATTGGAATCTGGACTCATCATAAGTAGGTCGCTGGAATGGGCCTCCAGATCGCCTTTGTCTTTTGGGAGCCATATGACCTGCAAATAATCAAACGAACCATCAAAATATGCCCTAACTAGTGCCAATCAGATGGTTACTCAGACTTCACCACCCGATGACACCAAATACTTCCCCTTAATTCATTCATAACAACCTCCACAATAGCCCCATAATTTTCTTACCACTTTCGGCATAATACACCCCATACTTACTCCTTTCAATGTTACACATGAGATACAACACCACCATATAGCAACTACAACCATACCACCAATCAACTACACATTATTAACCATCAATTACAACACCCCAAACCTAGGTTGGGCTTAACACACCCCAAAAATATACAACACCGTACCAAAATTTCGGCCAACACATGACCCAATACCATACCACACCACAAAAATCTAGTTTAGGCCTCCAAGCCACCAAAACAACTTCACAATTATTTAATAATGGAGACCCAATCAATTTGGCACTAAACAACCTCATAAACATCAACTACAACAATGGCAAACATAAAGAAAGCAAAAAAATTCAAATTTTACACTAATCCTAACTAGGTTTAGTTGAAACTAATAACTTAACAAAATACACTACTTAGAAGAGAAAGAAATAGAGAGAGAGAAGAATAACTTACTTGAAGTTGAGAGAGGTAGAAGTGGAGGTGTGTTAATGGAGGTTGGGGAGGAAGGGGGAGGTGAAGTAGAAGGAAGAGTAGAGAGATTGTT